AAACCCCGAGTGAAGAGTCTGTGTGCGTCATCGCTAGTCCGTCCAATGTACCACCCCAACCCACTATGGTTGATCATGATGCATTGGAAGGCGTCGCAGATATGACTGAATCACAGATATTCAAAGCAATGAGCGACCCGGATTACGTAAAAACGAGAACAATGTTCGGTGTAAATCTCTACGACATCCTCGTCTGCATGGATGTATTGCATCGTGCTGAGGATGACAACGAGGATTCAAAAGCAGCAGAGATGATAGCCTCAGGGGGGGCTCACGGGGAATACCTGAAGCGGGTCAACGATAGTTAACTGCTTCTAATAATTAGAAGTGACAGACTATCGCAAATTAGAATCTAACTTGCGACCCAGTTGAACCTCAACCCATGTGGAGAGTATATCTCCCTTCAGAGCGCACCAGGCAATGGATAGTCTTCAGATATCATGATAATACTTTTCCCTCCCTCCACCGTACTATCTACGGTGTTCGAAACACCGACAAAAAACTTGAAACGAAAAAGGTTCGAACACGTTCGTTCGTACACGTTCGTGTACGAACGAAGCTCGTACACGAACGTGTACGAAAAAGTGACTTCGGTGTGACTCTAGGTTGTCTAGAAAAAGTTCTCCACGCTGTTCGGAAACCCTTGAAAGGACCTGCTTTCTGGTTGGATGGTATGACAAAGGACATTGCCCGAATGATTCGCGCCTGCGAAATCTGCCAAGTGAACAAAGATCTTGATATAATGAACCAGGCTCCTCTCGGTTTTCGACGATGGCAAAAAAGATTCACGAGGATCCAGCTAGATCTTGCCGGACACTTCAGCCTCTCGAGCCAGATTGATGTGATTCCTTGGGAAACAGAATATTTGTGCCTGATGATATGCGAAGTTCGCATTCGCATATGCACCCATGTGTGCTTAGCTGTTCCTGCCAAATCGACATCAGCGCGTGATGTTATTGGATCCTTGCTCAATGAGCAATGCTCATATAGTTTGGGACATATGGTGTCCCCGAGAGCATCCCAATTGATGCATGCCCAGCTCATGATAATGCGACACTTCGTCAGTTCACCTCGTCATGGGGGACGGAGATAACTCTGGGTATTCCGGAGAGACCTGAATCGCAAGGCTTAGTTGAACGCTTGATAAGAGATGTTAAAACTGCGATAAGGATTGGGACCAATTGTGGCGAAGTAACACTGCCCTGGTGGATCTGTGCACTTAACGCAGTCACTGTTCACAATTCTTAACCTATACAAGATGTTTTGGGTTTTTCGAGATGGTAAATTGACGTCTGTACATTTTGTGAGACCGTCTATTCCATTGAAATTCTGTAACGAGTTAAAAAGGCATTTTTTTGGGAATTAAATAAAAAATAATTGGCTAGAAGTATGGTAGTTTCCCGAAAGCTACTGAGGCCCAATTATAATACGGCGCCATTAGGTCCCTTCAAGAGTTTCCCCAAGTTGATATCAGAGTCTTCCATGTTCATACGCATATAAGATCAGTTCGTCCTAGCCAGACTTGTCGAGATCACTTTGGCGAATGATATGAAAATACTCTGTACTTTATCGTGCATTAGTATGGTTATTAGCAATCACTGAATATCCTCATAAAAAGCCCATACCATAAATCAAACAATTCGAGATCAGTTCCTTCTCGTTGAAGTTCTAGTTGCCATTCCGATAACTGTAAACACAAGACGCCGGGAAAATGCAGAAACGACGCGCAAGAGGTAGCAGGAATAAAACAGGGAGTCAATTTAACAGATACGAGGCTAAAGTAACAACGAACTCATGAGAGTGAATACTGTCTATTTGCTGATAATAACGACGATTCCGATTGCTGATCCTAAATAGGAAAATAAACATTTATTCACATCAGATTGCTGACCTTCAAAACCTTGTCAAGCTCGAGGCTATCAGCTACTGCATGACAAAACTCATATGTTCCCAACATGATAGCGCAGCCAGGGATAACCTACCCAACCTAATTTGTATCTTACAAGGAGTAACCTAAGATACCTTCAAGAGTCGAGGTCCAAGACCAACAGTGAATCCTCGAAGACGATACTCTTCGAAAATCGCCATCATCGCTGATCCAGTAGTGTGAATTCTAATGGAAAACATCAATAACCCTCCTACCGTTAAAAGCGCGCGCCCAGACGATCGATTACAAAGATACCCTCCTCTCCCTACGGCGAGCTCCTCATAAAATTGGCGATCGTCGTATAAAAAGATGCCGATTGACAACACGTCCATGAGGATCGAGTCACCGACCAGCTCGTTCCCACGCTACACAGAGCGACTCTTTCAATTCGAATAATCGATCATCTGGGCGCGCGCTAAATGTGTACTCACCGCTTAGCCACGTTAGTGTGGTGTCCACTACTACTACTAGTAGGACGAGTCGCTGTTTGTAATTGAGTTTTGACCATATCAAAGGGATGCGTCGCAGCAGCCGCGATAGTTCCGCAGACCGCACCATTTAGGAAGGAGAATCCGAAGGTTTCCATCCAAGTTACGGGAACGTTGGTCTGACGAAAGAAAAGACACTTTTCGTAACGCGTAAGAATATCAAGTTCATTATTATGATGGAGTTTTACGTCAAGTGGCGTAATACTATATATAAAAACCCCATATTCGCGGTGATATGCAGTAGTCGTGAAATATATTTTTCACTAGTATTTTTCATATCACTAGGGTAGTGAAACTCCAATATATATAGCATTATGACAATAATTATATATAATACAACCAATCAAAGCCATTGTGCAGTAGAGTATGATATGAAAGCTTGAAATCATTGGAGATGATTGAGCGCATGAAAATACACTGAAGGGAACGGCCATTTCTTAATATCAATGCGAGCGTGTGTGATAAGCGATTTTCCAACAACTAATGCGATTCAGCAGATGACCAAACTGTCATCAAATTCCTCCTCGGAAATATGAAAAATACAAAAGTTATATTGGAGTTTCACAACCCGTTTTACGTAAAGTGACGTAAAACTCGGTGAAAAACGCGCGATATTTGCGGCGATATGCAGTAGTCGTAAAATATATTTTTTTCACTAGTGTTTTTCATATCACTAGGGTGGTGAAACTCCGATAAATCCTAAACAATAATATATCGTATAATAAAGAAGAAATACGAAGTTGAGCAATAATGATGTGACACTTTTGAGCAACTCGCGAACAGCGTTGGAATGTATGTTCCCTTTCCTCACCTGAGCTCGGGGGTCTCCCATCAATTATAGAAGTTTATATACAAACTTGGATAAAAATGTAGGGAATCCAAATTTCCTCAGAATTTTCATACTCTCACCAACACACGTAGTTGCATACTACCTTACGAGCAAACTCTATTGCTTCCGCAGAAAGAAAGCCTCAATACAAACATACTCCTCACGAAAAGGAAACTCAGTTACCAGAATTAACGCGATAATCATCAAAGGGAGATTACGAAGAAAACGTTGGAGTTTCATAACCCGTTTTACTTGAAGTGGTGAAAAACGCGATATTCGCGGCTTGTAGTAGTCGTGAAATGTGTTGTTTTTCACTAGTGATTTTCATATCACTAGGGTGATGAAACTCCACTATATAGCAAGAATATGTATGCACTACTGCGGGTTGAAGTAAACACACACAATCATCATACGTATAAAAGCGTATCGAGACAAAACATAGTATTATGAATATACACAATATTACGGGAAAAAATAAAAGCATATTTTTCCCATAATTTCCACGCTTCGTCCTTCCCAAAAACGACAGTGTACTATTTCTTATATACCATCACAATACCTCAGCTTGTTTTTCAGCTAATTCCAAGAGTTCCTCATCATTAGCACTACGCGCTGCCCCTCGTCGCTCCACGTGGTCCGGCAAGAATATTTTCTTATTGTACTCGTATAGCGACCAGTAGATCGCGGAAAATGGTAAATCACTGACAAAAAAAAATTTACAGGGATTTTTCCAACAATTTTTTCGGCGTTTTTTCCGACTATAATCAAAAAAATTCACATATTTTTACGAAATGTTATAACCGCACACGTGTGTACGCTCATTTTGAATTTATCATTAACCTTCAATGTGAGAAAAATCGCTCAGATTTTTACAGTAAAAATTACAATTAGGAATAGAGTAACAAATAGAGTAACAAAAGAAAAGTAAAAAGTAACAAAACAAGTAAATAGAGTGGCTCAAAATATTCTTCCTACTGGTCAACTTTAAGTGGTCAATATTATGTCAATATTAATAATGACAGTATACAGTAACAGTATAATGTCAATATTAATAATGATCAACGTGATAATCACAATCACTCGTTATACTCCATATCGCATATGAAGTTCGAGCAAACACCACTAATATTAATAAATTATTCTTACGAAAACACATATTTTTTTCGACCATGAAATTACTCAAAAAACAGCAAATATGATGAAGACTATCATCACCGTAGGCGTTGAGTTTACATATTTCTATTCTGGCAAATGTTGGCTTAATTCCTGCAGTTACCTTACGGTGAAAATCGGTGAAAACTCAGAATTTTATGCGCCAACCCAACCGCAAAAAGCGATCACACTGAATGGAGTTTCGCCCGTTTTGTGTAAAGTTACGTAAACCCGATGTTCGCGGTGATATGCAGTAGTCGCAAAATTTTACTAGTGTTTTTCATATCGCAGGTGAAACTCCAATAGAAGAGTCGTGCGGCAGTCCAAAGACCTTTTAGTATGAATATTACAACTACGTTTGTTGATCAACGTCTGTCCAGACTGAAGATTTTTGCAGGACAGAATGATTAGTAATAGTGAAATAGCCGGGATGGAACCCGAGACCTCCGGGTAGCCAACGATGCGCATTACGGTTATGCCAAATATACATGATATAAGTTCGTGTTCTGTACGAATAGACAAACTAACTAACGTATCACATGGTGTGATTCACATCCGGGTGAAGCCAAATCAAATGAAAATTTTAAAATATTTCTTATATTATCCACCGTAAAAATTGGCAGAATATTACCGAACTAATGTGGGTAGCAAACCTCGCCAAAAACTAGAAAAAGAATCTTCGCGTAAAACTCGCTTCACAGTGGCCATTGCTCCCTCGCCCATACCGGTGGTGGCTTGTACACGCGTACGGAGGAATTCCACTGAAAGTGATACCATCCTTTCTCCAACTCACGATGGGAGTCGAGACTCACAAGGAGAGAATATAGTAACTGCAGTAGCTCTTGCTGCGGCACTCGCAATTCCATCGGGGACGCGTTCACGCCAGTGTTCATACAGAACGAAAAATACCTAAGAAGAGTATCTTAGGTTCCCGCAGGGAAGATTCAAAACAGGTCCGCTTGGAGAACAAAAGTTTGAATCGGATATGCTTACCCAATTAGATGGTATTTGATATACTAGACTGGTCATAGTTCCGTTCCACAGAGCTCGCCAACCATAAGCGTCTTTAATGTGTCGCATCACCTGCAGGCCACTTGTATTGATCCGTTGATGATTCAAAGCTGGTGAAGCCTAAGGGGAAGGATATCTTAGGTTGGGTGCAAAAAGATTCAAAGTAGGTCCGATACCTGCCAATAGTTCTTGACCACATCAAAGGGAGTGCATACTGCAGTAACAGCGACCGAGCCCATAGTAGAGGCCACTAAGGTGTACCGTAACGTCGCCTTCTCGCCGCTCGAGGCTGCCATCAATCAAACTTAAGGCTCGTAGTACTAGTAACAATAAACTTGGATAAAATGCCCTTCGAACATACGACAAGCTAATATCGATTAGAATGGCGTGCGCTAAGTTAGTTCAGATTGTGCAGATATCTGAGCGAGGCCATTTCCGTTCTATGGGGGCGTATCTTAGGTTGCTCTAGGTAAGATACGGAATAGGTACGCTAATATACCATGTTGTGCATGCGTGCATGGAATTCTCGTCCAATTTCATGCGATTGTTCACTTCTTTTTAAGTGACCTTTTAACGCAATGAGACACTCAGTCTCGTTTCTTGTTAGAAACTACCCGTCGTTTGTTCAGCAGCCACTTCTTGTTATTCGATATTCTACTGTACTCACCCACGCCCAATTGTCAGAGTAGATGATACTTTCTTGAGAGGCCTTCAATGCAACACTTCGTTGAAATACTAACACAACAACTGTGGTTCACGCTTAGAGCTTCGTCATCTGCGCTTATCACAGTTCAGGTCAACCACTGTAACCATATAACTTTTTTGCTTTTCCTCATGTTATACTCAGTAGAGTTTCCCTTTCTAATAAGGCCAACCAAATGGCTAATTTTCAGTGTTGCATTTCTATCTTCCGCTCAACTGTATGAACGCCTGTCGTTCTCGATCAGGCACATCCAATGATGATGCGTCTACCAGAGTCGGGTCTCTCTACTTTGCATCGTCATTGCTACGCTGACTCTCCCTAGTGCTCCCGTTTATGGTCCCGTCATTCAAGTGTGTCTGATTGTCTACTCTAATGCTATGACTTACTATTACTAATCCCCTCTTTTTCCTGCTCATGGGTGGTTGATTCTCGCGTTGTAAATGAGGTTGTCATCTTGGCGTTACATTTGTGTATAGGTGTTCTCTTCTCTAGCATGATGATCATCTACTGGCTACCCTGTCTCATCACGCTTGTCTCTATTCGTCACGCTCACTCTAGCGGTCCACCCCCTAACCAATATGACGATGTAGATCTTGGTGAAGTTCAAATGCGGCACCCCGGAAAGGCCTCACGCGATCATCCTGAGTATGGGGGTAAGAAAACGCGGAGGTCATGGCGATCAGTTCTCAATCGATTGAGTGGTAAACGAAGTAGCAAGGAAGTGCCAAATGAAGGTCACGATGCGGCCGTCCGTCGAGTTTCCGACAGACTCTCCGCTACCAGTCTGAGCCGAGGTGTCGACTCGGGGAATGACGGCATCGCTAGTGACGGTAAAAAGGCGAGATTCTCAAAGTTGAAAGGGTTTTTCAACGGCAAGGGGTCTCGGAAGAGTGGTGAGCTATTTGATCAATCCTCGTCCAGCACTGAACATTCCCGTGATGCTACTTCAACTACCCTTCGTTCTAGTCTGCCACATATGGTCACTACGGAGGAGTTGCAGAGAGGCCTTTCGACTCTAAATGAGGTTTCTGCTGAATCCACGATGGACTGGGATGCTGCGGATCGCACAACTCAAGGGATGGGTGATTCTCATGCCGATCTTCCCGCGGATGTCTATTGCAACTATCATAGTGGCCATGCTCTCTGCCTTGCAAAAATCCCGGACTCTGATTTTGTTGATATATTCCACCACAACTTCGCAAAGAAGAGTACTAAGTCCTGCGGAGTGTCCACTTTCCCGAGCTTTGAGCCGGATGGTGAAGCCTTATCGAGGTTACCAGGAGAGAACGAAAAGGCTTGGGAGAAAGCGATGAAGCAATTGAAGGGGAAGAAGAGTTGGCAGGCTCCAGCCGACCAAGAGTTGTTGAACCAATTTAGACATCTAATATTCCACACTTGTGACATTGAAATAGAAGGGACATCTTTTGGCGTCACGGCTCTCTACATTAAACCTATGGAAGATCAGAAGCTCAGCGTGGCCTTCTTCACCGAACCGGAGAAGGTTGCTGTTGTTTGGGAATTTGAAAGACATGAACTTGTCGTCCCGGGCCATCAGAGAACTTACATTAGTATGGACCCGCCGTTCGAGGTTGAACTCGCACACAAACGGGCGAAGGTTACAGTAGCTGGAGAGCGAATCCAAGGCGTAGTTTTTACTCGTAAAAACATCTTCACGCTTCCGGGAGAATCTTATAGATCGAAGAATCAGATATTATGCTTTCGATTTTCATGGACTACGGAAGCAATTGCTGTCATGAAGTACGGGGAGAAATGGGCATTTATGATGAGCGAGAAGGAGACTACATGAATCTGTCCTACTGCTAGTAGAACCAATCTTATTGTGTATGATGATGTTGATGTTCAACCAATCGTATTTGAGTTTGAGATTATCTCAATATATTTTCTTTTCACGTAACGGTCCATAGGGAGGCCACAGGATATCCTGAACTGCCTCCATTTGGGAGTATTCTGAAAAATTCTATTCAACTTGATGTGGAAGAGCAACGCTGATTTCGAATGAATAATCCGTCACCGACTCGTCCTCTAGCAGTGATAAACTTGCGCGATTTAAAGAATCAAACTGGGAAACACTTAACGACGTGAGAGGTTCAATCAGAAGGAAGATCCATCATCTCATTTCACTCGAGGCACGTTTCGCTATATCAGACGAGGATCATGCCTCTCTGTTTGACCTAGGCTCTCCAATATCCATCTCTTGAAAACTGAGACATATTATAAGTGATAATGATACGAGTGATAGTTAATAGGCTGACGAGAGCATTATCACATACAATACATTCAATGCATTTGGTCCCCTCATCGTCACTTATATCATTATATTAGCAAGGTAGCTAGGCTAGGCCTAAGCACAGCGTGTATGATATTGTGCAATAGGGAGGATTGTGAAAAGAGTGGAGAAAGGTCTTAACCATTACCTCACTCGTCACACCTCGAGTCGCAGGGAAAGCTCATATTCGTAACCCCCTGCTGCACTGCCTCTTGCACTCACCAGATCACTCAAGCTCAAAAGTGCTGCGCTTTCGAAGTAGCGCTACTGATTTTCCAAGGCCGACCAAACATCATTAAAACAATAGTAGCAGCATAATATTGCTAACCGTTAGAAGTACTGCATTAATTTCGGGGGAGGAGGGAAGCTAGCTCGGGAGGATACAACACATCCAACACTGTCTAGCACGCTGAGAAAGTTTAGATCTCAACTCTAGCTTCTCCTCTCCCAACGTAGCCGAGAAGTTACAGGTTGAGGACCAATCCCCAGAGCGTGTTAAGGAAGGCGGCTGTAGTGAACTCCCTCCGACAAGGATACCGTAATTTGTGATATTCTTGTGTCATTTTCTGAGCTAGGCTGTGCATTTGTCTTTCCTCGCTAGATAATGTCATTTTAGTGTATTACGATACTGTGGTGTATATTTGAGCATTAGATCAGTATTTCTCCCTATATCCTTGTTACCGGCTTAAGCATTTGGTTTTGTTAAGTCAAGAGGGAGATCACAACAGGCACGACTTCAACTTTCAGCGGCTCGTTATAATCGGTTATTAACTCAGTTACAATGTTCCAATTGATGATGATATCATCATTATTCATTGAGTAACGATTCACGTATTTGTAGGACAGGTCGAATTCCTAGTATATATAAATATGAGCTTCGTTGAGATGATCCAGCGGAACTAAAGTGATCATACTAATGACCTTATTTCAAACGTTTGACTGAGGAGAATAATCGTCTATGGTTGAGGAAGCCAAGCGGATACTCCTCAATTGATCATTAGCTATGAACTATATCTTCTCGTAAGGTCCTCATCTTGTATTCGAAGCATCACAGTTGACGAGTAATTACTGCTTGCATCGTCCATCAGTCCTTACAACTCCACAACTACTGCTCAGTCCAAATAGAACTCTGAATATCTTGTCGCGAGGAGGTATATTGCAAGGCGACGGGCACACACACGAATCTTGTGATACAGTGACAAGAAAAACCCTAAGGGCTTTGGTTGAACTAAGTCGGTGGAGATCATCTTCCCTACTTAGCCAGTGGATTCCATGATTTGAGAGCGATAAGGACACCAGTGTGTGTTACAGGGGATTGGAATGAAAATGACGGTACTCGAGTATCGTCCAATTGAATTGTGAAGGACTGACCCACTGAAAACACAACACTCGTAATGATAAGGAAATTTTGCGAGAGAAAGCGCTCATCATCTTATCGAAGCAAAACAAAACTAGCAGTGTGTACTCCAGAGAAGGGTGATTGCGAGTAACCCTCTGGGAATCCCATCCTGATTAAGAGGTCGATCCACGGCCGCTATCATTAAGAATGTGTCAAATGCCAGAGGACATGGGAATTCCCCCAACGCCGTTATTTGCCACCCATGATGACGATTATCGAGAAACCAATAACACTCTGATGATTGAAGTAGCGCACAGGGACAACAGCTGAGAGACATCTATGAACCCCGGGAGGGCCTAAGAAGACAACCATTACGTCCACCTGAATTGCTCTTCGAAATCCTCATTTTGGCGGGCACCCCGTGGCAGGGGAAGCCACTTCGGGCAAGACGCGGAAGTATTTGTCACAAACTGTGGCGCAGCTGACGATAAGATGGACATCCGCACGAATGAGAATTTCCCTGACGATTTGGTGAATGCCGGAGACACTCATACGCATTCTTTCCCAGTTGTGTCCTCTGCCTCCCCATGCTGCTGCTTCCAGTTGCTCTCCTGATTTGTATCTATAGTGACAAGGACAGGCTAGTACGAGGAGCCCTCGGAGGAAGCGAGGACAGCGCTCTCCACGACAGCACCAACAAAGGCCAGACAGACGGTGAATCGCCTTTCGTCCGTGCTTACAGTTTACCTCCGGGCAAGATTCTCAAAGGTGGCCGCCGTAAAGTGAAGAATAAGGAGAGTCCATCATCATCGCCATTATCAACGTCTCAACCAGCTGGCATGTTTATCAGAGGGTTTATGCGTCGATCTCTTGAAAGAATAAAACCATCCGTTGCTCAGCCAAGAGCGGCTTCGACTAACGATGTGACCGACGGCAAATCTGTGGCGGTTTCGAAGGAGAAGAAGAAAAGGCTTTCATCTGTTAAAGAAATCAAAGACATCTTGGATTGCGACAGGCCGGCTGACGTTTATTGTCGCTTTCATGACTCTGAGTCCGTCCTATGTTTTGCCAAACTACCAGGCGGCGATTTCACTGATGTTTTCTATCATCATTTACGGAGTAATAAGACCCAAAGCTGTCAAGTCCTGACTTATCCAAGCTACCACGCCAAGAAAGGGGAGTGCTACAAAAACCCAGCAAAGCTTGAGGCCAAGTGGACGGAGGCAGTGGAAGAGGCGAATACTAGCAGCAAAGGTTGGGAGAAATCCAAAGCGCGAGATATTGAGAAGTTCCGTCATCTGATTCCCCTCCAGTGCGACATCGACATTGAAGGCATATCCTTCGACGTCAGCGCTATCTATGTCAAGTTTCCTACTGCTTTCAACGGCACCTTGAGCATCGCTTTTTTCAAAAGCCCTGAGGAGCCGTATAAAATTTTGGAGTTCACTCGCGCTTACCCGACTCATCTGGCAAGATATGAACTAAGGTATCACAGTCTTGAGCCTCCTATCGATATTGGGGCCGGCACTTTCGGTAATCTACACATGAGAGCTCATGTGTCTTACGATGGAAAGAAAATCGATGTCACTCTGCCAAAGGATTATGTCTTCTTTTTCAAGACAAGCTCCGGAGAACAAAGCGGTTCGAAAGACCAAATGTTTATCTTTCTCTTGGGGGAATATAATAAAACGTTTGCCGTTATGAAGTTCGGTGACAAATGGGCGTTGATGACGGATGAAGCCGTTACTGAACGTTAACTGCACGTATGCTAATATGGCCACTCATGAGATGTTCTTCATTTGTTGTTGTTATCTGTTAGAATGACCATAATCTGTAGAGTTGATTATAACATCAATTCATCCCACCAAGGTTAGAGGATAACTCTGCTTACCTCACTATATTATACGCACACGACTCAGGGTAGGAGTGTAAGAAACCTTCCCAACAGCCCAGCTATTGATCATGCCATGTGATCGACTATCAATGATTTAAGCTACTGTACATCACTTGAGTATTGCTAAAGGCGAGCATCCATGAAAGCGAGACTGGACACGTCCAAGCAGTTTTCGAGCGCCCAACTTCCGGAACAATCACGCATTCTTCACTCTGTTGCAACGCGCAATTCCTCCACACTTCGAGCGAAATTCAATTCCCCTCAAGCTCTACTCTCCAAGATGTTCTCCATCATCACTGTCGTATTCAGTGTCACCATCTGTGTCACCACTGAAGGCAGAAGTTTTCTCCGCTTCAAAGTGGGTGGCAGCAGAGGGCGGAGCCAACTCTCGAGAGAGCTGTCGTGGCTAGCCAGTGAACCACCCAAGCCCGATTCCTTCCTCAACGACGATCTCTATTGTGTATTTAACGATGAAGATGAAGCCCTATGTGCCGTCAGAACTCATCACGGTAATGTTCACAGTCTTCTTGCTTACAACACAACCGGCTTTAATAGACGCACGCAGAGCGTCTCAGTGACAACCTATCCAAACGTCATCGATCCTCCAAAAGCTAAAGGGACCATCAAAAGTTATCTATTTAAGCTTAAGGGTTCAAGGGCCGAGAATAACTTGCGGTCGACCATGGAAGCTCCCCTTAAGCAAAACTACGATATCATCTTGAAACAGAGTCTCATGGGGTTTGACCAGATCGATATGAGCAAGAACCCTAAAATGACATCCAGCGATCCCGAAAGGTACCTGGACTTCACCTTCTTGTCTTTTCCCCCCGTCACCCCCAAGACCTATCGCTTATTCAAAGTGGAGAGGATTTCTGCGGAGCATGTGGCCTACGCCGGGGAGTTCGCGTGTCAAGATCCTGAATCGCAACTCATACCGGTTGGGGAAGGGTATCACATCACAGTAGACCAGAGGATGAGCGCTGATCTCGAGAAGTCCTATATAGACGATCGCCTTTGGTGGTTTTCGGGAAGCAGGTTCTACTACGACTTCTTCTTCCGGTTCCCCCATGGCACTTACGGGTTCCTAGCAGGCTATGGTGATAACAAGTATGTGATCTTGAGAGAGCGGTGGTATGTGTGACGAATGCTTATCGTTGATGTTATTGTCGCCATTGTTGTTGTTGTTATCATATCATCGTAGTGTTACTAGTCAACACAACACGAATCTTAACAGGGGAAATATCAAGACACGAAAATATTTAGCGCAATATGTAGTTGCGAGCAGATGTCTGAAGCGATACAGGACCACAGGTTCGAAGCCGCCAGACATCGAATTTCCCACCTAGGATGAGAGCTAGTGCTCGAAGTCTGTCAATATGCTTCCCACAAGAATCCTCATCAATGAGAATCCAAACCGCCTCGGGCATTGGGTCGGTGATAGTTGGCAAAGAAAGGATAAGCTCAACGATGTCATGAGATTCGCTGCTGCCCTCTCTCGAAGTGTACCTGATTCATGTTTGAAAATAATCTAACCGGGAGTCGAACCTCGGACTTCTGCACTGAAGCATAACTTTCTACCAATAGACCAAACCGACAGATACTCACCACACTTCAATATCCCCTATCTCGTCATGGAGGGATATCTCGCTATTCTGAAGGACGGATCTCAAGCCGGCAGGATGGGCGATAATCACCTGCGAGTGTTTCAGCGATCGAAAAGGAGACTTATGTCACCAATCTTTCGTTTGAATTCAAATATTTTCGCCTCTCTAACATTAAAGTCAACTCCTTGCTGTTCAGAAAGTTACCAATCGACATTTTCGGAGAGAAATAACTTTCTGCTGGTTTCGATTGTGATCCGATCTGATGAGACGGGAAGATGCAAATACAGGCGGAATCGGGACTAGTGTGTGGAAACATCAATTGACCGACGAGATTTGGTGGAAATTCACCCGTCAGCAGATTGAGTACTAGATGATACGCCTAATAGGCCAGGCCCAGGATGGTCGAAGATGAGCTCGGAATGACTGGTGCTAGGATCGAACCAGGAATCTTTCGATTACCCACATAATGCGGGCTACACTACGCAACGTTGTGGATTGACTTACTAAACAAGAGCACCAATGAGCATCAAAACGAGTATTTTACACCAGTTCGGTGAAAAAGGATTATACGTTGTGGCGAAAAGGCGCCTTTAGCCGAAATACTCTAAGTTGACGCAGACACATCATCTGCTCAGTGTTGTTATTACGCGGGTAAGGAGACGAGAATCTGAGAAAGAAAAATTAATTCAAAACCTACCTATGGCGTTTATGTTATTAGATTGACATAGAAATGATAGTATTCAATTATACGTGCTCCAATTTAACTTGGAAAGATCGAAAGAATAATATCAACATGTTTCACGTCGACCGAGAATCCCGACGCTTTTTTTCCGAAAAAAGTCATTGAAAATTACAACAAGGTGATGATAACACTCACCGGGTAAATCTCGATCGACTAGAATGGTCAGGAATGGTATAGCTGATGGGTTACTGTACCTAACATCGACATGAAATAATATCTTGTGCATGCGTGCAAGATTCATACCAGCTTATTGTGCCATCTGGATGGACAACAGCTGCTGTAATATCTTCTTCTTTTTCAAATATATCTAGAGAAGGGGGACGACGTTTCGGTGTTCTGAAAGAGTAAAGACATATTTTCATGTCGATTTAATAAAGTAAAGGAATGAGCCCAGTATGGTAATTAAGTTGACTGTGGAGGATTAAGATAACAAGTCTAGGGGTACTTACGTTGAACTCTTCCGACTTGCCCCTTCTGGGGATGTATGCTCAAGCTCGATTGGACTCTGAAAATTTATTCATGCACAGCCGACTCAGCACCCAGGCCTTACCTGATTCGAAGTTTTCTCGGAAATACTGTACTCAGTAGCGTTGGCCTGGACAGCCCCACTCTCACATCGACAAGATGGTGTAGTAGACATAATAGTGTGCTATAGACAACACTACGAAAGATCCCTGGATCCACTCCCAGTCGAGTCATTATTCTCATCCACTTATTTGAGAAATTATTCCACAAGATGCTCCAACTCAAAACCCAAATTTACACAAAAATGAAGGGTAATACTCAACGCGTTATGTATAATTTACAACATATCTTCCTCGACAATATTCCGACAAGACAATTCGGCAGCCCTGTTCCAAGATGTACTCATAGACAACTCAAGAAACAGTTTCACTTCCGAAAAAACCTTCAACTTGATACCACAGCGATACTGCGATACTAACACCAAATGAATGATGAGGACGAATCATTCACATATACTTTAATTAAATGACGAGTTATTATTATTCAGCTATCCAGACAATGGTACTCATGCGAATGATCATTGATAAGGATGTGATAACTCGAACAACAAGTACTGTCATTTTCAATACACTGAAGGCGCTACTGCCCGAAACTTTGTAACAATATTTCCCTCGACGATTGGGGTGATAATGATAATGTGATGAGTGATGAGAAGAAGACTGGTAATACTACAATTCACAATTACTATATAAATAACAGAGTTAATTCCGAGGAAAAACGTAATGAGGGAAACATTATCATAACAATCCACATTCATGGAGGATACTCTACAAGAGTCTAATACAGAAAATATGTTGTGAGCATCATCACTTCAACTGATAATAATAATACTTACACAGTCACAACATCCATACAGCATTGATTTAATTACGGTATTTGATACTGGTGATGATAGTGAAGGCAAAAGAGACCATTAAGGTCAATCACTATGATGATGATGATGAGCATCGAAGAATCGATAAATCGACCAATACGTCAAACAATGACCACCACCACCCACGATGACCAGATCCATCTATACCGAAAAAATGGAGAAACTAAGAATGATACTTCGAGTTAGTGTTGTTGTTGTAAGACCAGTTATGATATGTGATAGTAGTAGTAGTAGTAGTAGCAGTAGTAGTAGTAGTAGTAGTAGTAGTAGTAGTAGTAGTAGTAGTAGTAGTAGTAGTAGCAGTAGTAGTAGTAGTAGTAGTAGTAGTAGTAGTAGTAGTAGTAGTAGTAGTAGTAGTAGTAGCAGTAGTAGTAGTAGTAGTAGTAGTAGTAGTAGTAGTAGTAGTAGTAGTAGTAGTAGTAGTAGTAGTAGTAGTAGTAGTAGTAGTAGTAGTAGCAGTAGTAGTAGTAGTAGTAGTAGTAGTTTTACAACTTCTCGAGAGGAATCAATGGTAACATAATGATCATAATTATGATAGGAAAAACTGCACGCTTCGAGGACTTCACGAAAGCGGACAGGGAAACTTGAAACTCTTCTTCCACTTCATCACCCGCAGTCAAGAGCCTACAGCTGAGGTTTTGTTCTTGTTGTTGTTGTTTTTGAGTTATTATCATGCACTAGGGCATGAAGTAATATAATATTCCCGAATCATTGAGATGAAAACACCATTTAGGCGCTTCCATTCCGGACTTGACAGTCAACATCATCTGGAGAGAGCCTGAATTAAAAACAATGCACCTCCCAAGAATAGAACCCACAACCTCCCGGATACAATAACTCGGTTAAGCGCTCAACGACTCGACCACCTAGCAACATATTTTCACTCACTTCTGAATTCTCCCATCATCAACTCCAGTGATGCCTTCATCATCTGTTATAATCCTAAGACAATAACAACATGCTAAAGTCATCGCCACAATTTCCTTGCCGCTGCCCGGTTCAAACAGCAGTAACTTATACTCGTTTTCCACACATGAAAACTAAACCATTAAGTGAATCGATTATTTATCCTTCCAATTTTGAGAGTTCGAAGAATATCCAATTTCACTAACCTCATAAATGTAATAACAATGTGAATCGGCTGATGGCGCTCAGAAGCGTTTTCCCAGTCCATAAATCTACTTCATGTTTTCAAAAACACGAGTTCACATAACTATGTTTCAACTAGTGATAATTCAATCTTACTAATCGAGTACTACAAACAGATGTTCACTTTAGAAGTTATATTATGGTGAAGTTTCAACAATCTCGGATATTTACGAAGTAGAAATTCAAATCGAAATCGACTAAAATTGTGATCATCTTTTCAACTCATTCGCGAAAGAAAATTCCCTCAACGCTATAAATGAGTTCCGCGAAATCCAATGATAAAAAAACTCGCGTATGAATTTTCTGATTTCTCTTCATTAAAAATATCAATCCGCAACTTACTCTATTTTCACAAACCTTTCCCTCCGATGACGATGTCGTCCATCACCAGCTCGGCGCTTCTCAACCAACTTTCTATCCCTCATATTTGCCGATCTTGAAGATTCTCTGGAGACCGAGCTCGACCTAATATACAACAAAAGATTCTTACGCACAGCGAAGAATATCTATCGTTTTTCACGGGGAAGCAAATTCTGAAACTATACATGTAAATGCTCATATTATAAATGTTTACCAAAACTTCTACAACTCGAATATTGCGATTTCAGTATAGTTTTCCGTGAAATTTTTCCCCATTTTTTCCATAAATTCCGATTCCCAACTCACTTATCACTCTCCAACTTGTGGACAGTTTGAATACCCGAATTGTGATGACGACGCTCAGCCAGAGGAAGATAAAACAGCGGCCTGGATAGGAGAATCTTAGGTTCACCACGGTAAGATACAAAACAGGTTACCCCATCTCGTCATCATCATCATCCTCTACAATCAACATTCTTCCACGGCAACTTGCATCATGTGAGTTCTAAAGATAATCTTCGCTGTGCGATACTAAGATACTCCTTTCACCCTCACCTTATCTGGATTCCTAGGAAGCCCGTTCACTTGAGAATCAACAACCACAGCAATTGGCATCTTTAAAGAAAATAAATGAAAACTTCCTATCACCAAAAGTATATATATATCATACCAAACGACCACTCATCGATTAATAGATACCCTTTTAATATGCGCACGCGTGCAAAACATGCACGCCTTAAAAAATATGAAAATTCACCTGTTGATGATGACGATAGGAAAATTTTGAGGAAATTTCGGGAAAATTTCTTATTGATTTCTGTACAATTCTACCCGAATTCATATGTCTTTCGAAACTCCCGAGGAAAGCGAACATATATTCCTCCAACACTGTACCCAATACCACACTTCAGCTTAGCCATCACAGGTTCGATCCTCGGCACCTGCATTTTTCCGCTACCAACTTCGCGAATTTATTGAAAATTCTCATCAACTATTCTGGTCGATGACAACGATAAATTTATTTTTCATTTTTGAATACTCATACCATAAATCGTTTCCCATGCAAATTCCTGAGCAATTTGAGAAGCCATATATTCCAACACTAATTCTTCACGAAATTCATAAAGTGACTGCCTACAGGTTATATAGATTTCAGACGATAATCGATCACGTGATCGATTTGTCCAAGTTCATAAATATATATATTCCACGCCGAGATGGAACTCGCGACCAATTATTTTAAGGAGAATCTTATGATTGCCACATAGGGTATCTTAGGTTCATGATGGTAAGATACAAAATAGGCCCAATTGAAGCCTCAACACAACATGTCAAAGATATCACCACGCACTTCAAAGAATCTTCATACTTCAACTACCTTCATCCTACCTCAAAGATTCCCCAATTACATGGTAATGTAAAAAGCGCTCGCCCTCGTGATCGATTCAGAAACAGTAATTATTAATAATCTATATATAGCATGCTGCGGCAGTCCACCCACCCGAGTTCGATTCCCAGGGGACTAATTTTGCGACTTTTTTGCAGGGCGATTTATACACCAAAAATTGCCAAAGTCACTCAGCAGCGTTAGAAATAATGGAAAACAGAACGATATAAAATCGATCAGCTGATCGATATAATCGATCGACCGATCGATCAGTAATTCATTACCTAAATAATCTTGCTCTCTTACCAAATCTTGCATTTCCTCAACGCTAAGCTTACCCTATGAATTGGAATTAGAAGATTCCTTACGACCATTCACCGAGCCAACTAGTATCCTGAAAAATGATATCCAAGGTTCAACGATGCAAGATTCAAAATAGGTCCGCAAACATACCACTTACTCGAGCCGCCTAGTAGTAGTACAACATCGACTCGAACGAGGCGTATCTTTTATTCTGCGGACCACCAATGCGGGCAAACGGAATATCTCCGACGACCTACATACAGCAGCACTGTTATAAAAATGGTTAACATGTACCAAAATTACAGCGGAGCGATGCAACCCTCATCATCATCCATCACAATTACCGTCATCCTAGTTGACATCAGTGCTCGTTGTGAATCTATCTACACATACAACATAAAAGATTCCACAACGCACAGCGAAGATTTTTCCAAACATAAAATCTTATAACAATATAATCTATATTATAATCATACCACAACATACTCTACAATCTGAACAACTATTCAAAGTAATTTAACTCTCACATATACACAGCCCACCAAGGTTCGATCCCCACACCATGCATTTTATAACAATATTTCCTATCAACATGTTGATGTCCACAATACTACTATACATATATATTTAAATATAAATAAATATCATTCGATCGAGGTTCGATTCCCACACCCTACATTTAATGATGACCTCCTTTTCTTAACTTCAGCAATAGGAAGGCGTGGCACAAACGATGGTCGGGTGGACATCAAAGAGAGAAAGAGAACAAATCTGGACCTATTTTGAATCTTACACATCCAACCTCAAGATACCACCATCAAGTGAATGGATATAAAATATGATGAAAATTATCCCCACCTGGAAAACGATACAACAAATATCCAAGGTTCAACCATGTAAGATCCAAAACAGGCCCAAAAGAGGACCACAAAACTATTCGCCACTTATCTAAACGACTACCAACATTGGAGAAATATATGTTCGCTTTCCTCAGCTGCTGACCTCAGGAGTTTCCAAAGCAAATTATAAAATTTTACATACGAATTCGAATACGAGTGTACAGAAACCAACAATAATTTCCCAAATATTTCCTCGAAATTTCCATATCGTCATCACCAACACATGTAGTTGATGACCATGTGCATATTTTTCTACTCACAAATAACAACCTCCAAAAAAAATATTTTTCATAAAATTTTTTAGAGAACTCAACACAATTCATTTTTCAAGTAACGGTTTGTTAGCGTGCAGTAAGCCTACATTCTACCCTACCCCCACACATATCTCTTATCGATCACCTGATCGATTTCATCCATACCAAAACCGTCTCAATACGAAAACATGCACATGGTCAACTACATATAACAAAAAAATTGGTTTTTTTACACTACTACGCAAAGTCATTTATATTCATACCGTAATTTCGGAAACTCCATAGTAAAAAAGTGTACAAATTTCCGTAAAATTTTACTTTACATCAACAAATGAATTTCCAGATTTGAAAATTGTTAAAAACCTGAGCGAAACCGTTACACAAATTTATCATTTTTTTATATTTTTTTACAAACTCATCCGGAGTACTTCTATGAACGTTTTGCCAATCGATTCACGTTCAAGCTCATGATGATACCAATATTAGATCTTCAAACTGTCAAATTTAAATATGATTACCTTTTACGAATTTTCGCATTCCTGAATCGCTTCGCTCCGCCCAATTTCAACTGTTGGAGTTGCCTCGTTCGTCAACAACTCCAAGTCGAGAGCTCCATCATGCTTGACAATGTGCTCTGAAAATATATCAAAAATAATTATTCAAATATCATCAAGAATAATCGATCACGTAATCGATTATAGTATTATTACTAAATTCTACAATTTTTCGAAAATTTTCGAAAATACATAAATTTTATCGCCGTTATTGGAAAAGGGATTCTCATAAAATTTCACCAGTTTTACGTGAAGTGGCGTAAAACTCCGTGAGAAAGCCGATATTCGCAGCGATATGCAGTAGTCGTGAAATATGTTTTTCATATCACTAGGGTGATGAAACTCCAAAATTTTGATTTCAACTCTTCAAAATATTAATCGATCACGTGATCGATTATCTCTAAATATATATTCTAAATAAAACTCAATAATTTTACTTAGGTCCCCGGTTCGATTCCCAGCCCCTCCCTTTCTACCCAATGAATCCGTCAAAAGTTGTATTTCATTTCCCAACTGCGTCAAGTCCGGCTTCAATAGAAACTTCACAGACTTCATCCTACCACAGCCATTTACCAAATCGATCATCTGGGCGCGCGCTTTTTGCTCACCAGCTGTTCGCCGTCCTCTGAGTCGGAATATTTCCCAAAGTTACTCTCATCAATGCTTCCCTTTCGTGTGGGGAATCCCCAATCGAAATCACATTGCGCCAAGACCTAAAAAAGATTGAACATACGTGTTTGAAAAAAGTAAACATAAAACTCTTCAACTGTTTGCTAATTGCGGAGCGAGCGTAGCATATACCGCAACAACAGGCACTTTCGCATTGTGCGTGCGTGCAGAATTATTCTGGCTCAACTACGAGGCTGTCAGATATGTCAAACGACTCCTCTATATGCGAAAAAATCGGAAAATTAGATTATGCGAACAACTCGAAGAGATATGCACGAAAAACTTTAATGATGGAAAAATGTCCCACCCGAGAATCGAACCGGGCTGGACCTATGTAAACTTCATTGATTGAGTCCATGGACGTGGACTCAGTGAGCTCCTTCGTCACGAGGGCCTAGTTTTATAATAAAACTAAACATCCAATCACGACTACCAACATTGGAGAAATATATGTTCGCTTTCCTCAGCTGCTCAGCTCAGGATTTTCCAAAGCTGATTATAAAATTTTACATACGAATTCGAATACAAGTGTATAGAAATCAATTAAAAATTTCACCAAAATTTCCTCATAATTTCAATATTATCACCAACACATGTAGTTCACCATATGCATATGCTCCCGCATAACATTATAATGTAATGCATCAAGCTGTGCGCAACTAGCATATATATAAAAGATATCTTTCACATCTATATATCACCATGCGTAAACTAAGATACCTCCCAAAAAATCTTCCCTGTGCGCAGCTAGTATATATATAAAAGATATCTTTCACATCTATATATCACCATGCGTAAACTAAGATACCTCCTCGAAAAATCTTCCCTGTGCGCAACTAGCATATATATAAAAGATATCTTTCACATCTATATATCACCATGCGTAAACTAAGATACTTCCCAAAAAATCTTCCCTGTGCGCAACTAGCATATATATAGAAGATATCTTTCACATCTATATATCACCATGCGTAAACTAAGATACCTCCCAAAAATCTTCCCGGTGCGTAACTAGCATATATATAAAAGATATCTTTCACATCTATATGTCACCCTGGGTAACCTAAGATACCTCCCTTTAAAAATCTTCCCTGTGCGCAACTAGCATATATATAAAAGATATCTTTCACATCTATATATCACCATGCGTAAACTAAGATACTTCCCAAAAAATCTTCCCTGTGCGTAACTAGCATATATATAGAAGATATCTTTCACATCTATATATCACCATGCGTAAACTAAGATACCTCCCTTTAAAAATCTTCCCTGTGCGCAACTAGCATATATATAAAAGATATCTTTCACATCTATATATCACCATGCGTAAACTAAGATACTTCCCAAAAAATCTTCCCTGTGCGCAACTAGCATATATATAGAAGATATCTTTCACATCTATATATCACCATGCGTAAACTAAGATACCTCCCAAAAATCTTCCCGGTGCGTAACTAGCATATATATAAAAGATATCTTTCACATCTATATATCACCATGCGTAAACTAAGATACCTCCCTTTAAAAATCTTCCCTGTGCGCAACTAGCATATATATAAAAGATATCTTTCACATCTATATATCACCATGCGTAAACTAAGATACCTCCTTAAAAATCTTCCCTGTGCGCGGCGGCCGCCGCCACCACCACGACTACCTGTGCATAACAGAGCTCTGCATCCAAAAGTTCGATGGTTGTTCGATTAAATGCGAATTAACTCCACTCATAGGCGTAGCACCTGTGTAAGCAAATCGATCACGTGATCGATTTGGATACTCACATCGTTGACCATCAATGATATCTCTGAATGCATGAGCTTTCCATCCCGCCGGACTTTTAACGCCTTTATGCTCAAACGCACCTGCCCAAAAATTATACAAAAATTTTGTTGCAAAAAATTACTCGAAATTTTTGCGAATTTTTCCAATTCTCAACAGTGTTGGAATATATGTTCGGTTTCCTCAACTGCTCAACTCGGGAGTTTCCCGATTTCCTGTAAAAGTGTATAAAAACCAACGGAAATGTCCTTCTTATTCTCATCAACATACATGGGAGTTTTACAACCCGTTTTACGTGAAGTGGCGTAAAACTCCGTGAAAAACGCGATATTCGCGGCGATATGCACTAGTCGTGAAATGTGTTTTTCATATCAATCAGACGAGAAACATTTTTCCACACTGCATTTGAAATCAAATCTTGCAATCTTGCTCCCACTTGCATTTCCTCAACGCCACATATCCTACTTCGTGCGCTGCAAATTTTCACCGCTAAATTTTGAAGCAGCAGTTCTAATGATGGTAGCCACTTTCGGCAAGACAACTCAAACCATCCTTCCTGAGAAGAAAGGGCACAAATCATTAAAATATTTTACTTCCAAATGTGGGGAAATATTCACATATGTTGATAACGACAACTAGGAAATTCTCGAGCTGTTTCTTGGTAACTTCCAGGGTTGTTCTTTTCAGATGAAAATTATATAACATATTTTCCAACACTGATTTCACGCAACTTCAAAATATGCAAATAAGAAAAAGCTACCAAAATATTTTTGAGAAAAAAATTTTCATAAAAATGTAATTCTATATAACCAATACGATGAATAACTTTCCAGAATCATCACCACATACATTCCAGAATGCTAAAATCCGAATCACAATTTTCCCGCATTTTCTGCCCACAATTTCGGCAAAAAATACGAGTAAAAGAAATCGAAGATTTTTATAAATGACATAATTGATAGCCTTCCGAGTTGATATTCATTTCTTCGGCAAAATATTTTACACGCAGAAAATGCAAAAAAACCGATAACGAATGTGACTCTGTTGATTTCACAGTATATATAGATTTCAATAAAAAAATATAAGATTTGATATGATAATCGATCACACGATCGATTTATTGATGAATAGTGTTAAAATGAGTCTGTCGTGGAAGCATGCCGGGATCGAACCCACGACCTTTCCCTCCCCACCTGAGCGTTAGTGACTATAACCACTTTACCTAACGAAGCGGCCTTCCGAACCATCTTCACGGCGAGCTCGGCCAACTCCGATAGCGCATCGATGAATTTCTCGGGTACGAATGGATCGCAAACCTCATTGGAAAAAATCCATATCAACAAAAAAATTGTGAAATTATCAAATTTTACGGTAAAAAGTTTCGGTAAAAATTCACCAAACAAATACCAGCGAAAATTATGGGAGATATCATCCATCCGAAATTGGAAAAAATCACAAAAGTAATTATCAAAAGAGCCAAATAATAATTTTTCCGTTTCACATTTCTTACAATGATTTTTTTCATAAAAAAAGGAAAAACTTCGCTCCGCCTTTTTTATTACATTCAAACCGTTCACTTTTGCCCAAGTTGTCGGACAGATGGTATCATCCCAATCGAAAATCAGCAAAGTTTGAACTCTCGCTGGCGTCGCTGAGAATCTCCCATCCTTTCTGGTGTTTATTGCATTACCTTACTCGGAGTCGTCAATAAAGATTCTTTCAAGGGCGTCGGGGTGACACCAATAGTAGTGCTGAAAAAATGCAACATGCCGGGATCGAATGCGTAGCTTTCTCCCCACCTCCCATTAGAAATATCCCCCTCCTTTTCATCATCGGCCTCCGCTGGTGTCAACAACACCGTGAACATAGAATGGTCGTGATTTTCTATAGGATTCAATTCACCCTCTTCTCGAGAAGATCCTTTCGGTGTCATCATAACGCCACTTCCAACATGTGTAAATGTAGCCGTCGGAAAACCTTGAAAATCTCAAAAGAGTGAATTCGATCAAATCGATCGGATGATCGATTTATCATATTGTGGAGATTTCACAATCAAAAGACGTAAAAACTATTTGGAAAAAGAATTTAATAAGTAATAAAGTAATTAAGCAAGCTTAAAAACCTGAAAACTCAAATCGATCAGTTGATCGATTAAATCGATCAGTTGATCGATTAAATCGATCACTCCAATTTCCCATACTACTATTCACATGTGAATGACCTCGGCGACTTAAAACGTCGCGACTTTCGTTTTCCGCGTCCCCATCAAAATCCAACTCTAGACATCTGCGGTTACCTAAATCGATCACGTGATCGATTATCCAATATCTTAGATTCAGAATAGGTTACCTTTAGTCTGAATCGGAGTTCCCTCTTGAAGATCTTCCACTGAAATCGGTTCCTCATTTTCGGCGGCTTTTTCAGTCGAAGGAGTGGCAAACATTTAAATGGAAATCAATCAATACTCTAACAAAATCGATCGTCTGATCGATTACATCATAGAAATGAAAGAAAATTCATCGTTGTTTTCCACGTCGGAAATTTCTCATAAAAACCCAGAATTTTACCCAAAAGTATACACAAAATATTTTTGGTGTGAATAAATTCCCAAGAAGATGACGATGCTACTTAATCCATCAATGATTCCTTAGTAGTGAAATTGGTCCATCCATATCGATCACGTGATCGATTTCACACCGTCTCCTCGACAAAACCTCCCAAAGACGATTTTACAATTCTTGATCTTGGTACATACCCCAACCTATTTTGAATCTTACCAAGCCAACCTAAGATATTTATCACTCATGCATAATCGTTGATACTATCGCACTGAATTGAATCAACCAAATCACAAAAAAACGAAGAAATGATGGAAAAACTCCAAATAATTCGGATTGCCGGAAAAAAATCGTTTTAATCGATGATAACAATAGAAAAAACGAAAAAAATACCAGAAAAATCACAATGCTAAAAACAATCAAAATTTCCTCCAAAAATGCCCTCACCACAGTTCGAACCCGGAGCCTTTCGACTACCTCAATTTTCCCATTTTCCTCAGCCGCTGCTGAGTTGGTGAATGCCCCCAGGACTTGCGAAAAAAACCTTAGTAGTTTTATACAAACATGTAGTCAACCTCACTAATAAAGTTTATTTATAATTTTTAATCAGATTCATATTCTTCCGATGAATTCCCTAATACTCATTACTCTTTTTATGGAAAAATAAAACGGCAAATTTTATTAAACTCATTCCCGAGACCTTTTTATGGTAGGATAAATGTGTCCAACCAAACTTCCCCCTGGGAAAACGATGATTCGAAAAACTAAGCTAAATCGAATGATATAAAAAATCACATGAAAATTTCTATCACCGGTTCGAAATAGACATTAATACCAAACATTTCACCATCATGAAGTTCTACTATGTGTTTCGTTTCCGGATGGTCTTTTACCTGACCTAAACCGTATCTTACCTTCCCAACCTCAAGATATCATATGTCTTTGATGAGCTCGGTCGAGGATAGATGAAAATCTCTCTGAAGAAATTTACGTTGAACGCGACGAATTTCTGGGCTTTTGGTATTGATCTTTCGTAAATTATTCGCTGTGCGTAAAGATTCATTCCAGGCCCAGTAAGATTCAAATCGTCTATCACGTGTTATTCATAAATTAGTTTACAACGCGCTCAAACTGAGAAGATATCTTCCACGAGAGCAGAAACCATTGGAGTGTTTGAGGACATATCTTTGCGCACAGCGAAGATTTTTGAAATCTCATGTAAAATGATATACCGCTCCCTCGAATTCATTATAATTTTCGAACTCATCACTCTATAGATAAATCGGCAAAAATTAAATTTGAGAATTTATTCCAGGATGAAATTATATCGCGGCGAAATTACAAGCACGAAAGATTGAGTTAACGACGGGGAGTAGCAATTCTTTTGTTAATCACACAAAAGGCGTCGGAAGATCTTTCCCTCGCCGAGTGTCACCAGTCACCACTAGTTAGAATTAATTTTGGCTATACGTATGTCGGTGATCAACACGCTCCACGACGGAAAGGGAACTTTACCAATCATAATATTTTATAATAACTTCGACTTCACGACGATGAGGAAACTGCTCCCCGTAGATTGAATAGTCTTGATAAGGTAGACGTAATAATTCTAACTTCATTTTCGACTCGAACTTAAAAAAAACTAGTGAGCAATTTATTTCACGACTACTGCATATCACTGCGAATATCGGGTTTTCCGTGGGGATTTACGCCACTTCACGTGAAACGGGTGAGGCTCCATTAGTTCAGAGCGAAAGTAAATCACTTCATATTCTTAGGACGTATCTTAGGGTTGACATGGCAAGATACGGAAGATGCCTTATTGAAAAATATAATTGAAAAAATTACGACGTAATTTCAGTTGGTTGAAAACCTAGGATACTCAGACGTATCTTAGGTGAGCTCACAGAAGATTCAAATCAGGTCCGAGACAGACCAGAAACCCGAACTGTTATACAGATGAAAGCTGTTATCAAAGCAAGCAGAAACCCGAACTGCTGCGAGCGAGCGACAAACTTCCTTGGACTTGTCGTCTTCCTTGGATTTGTATTTACCTGGAAAGGAGTATATATCTACGCTCTTAAAGAGACTCTCTTCATGAGACG